CCCCCCCGGTGTGCTGCTGCTGGAGGCGGATGGCCAGCTGGATGTCGGCCAGCAGGTCCTCGTGGTCAGCAGCTGAGTGGAAGCTGTAGATGTCGGTGTCTGACCCCGAGCTCCCTCCCCTCTGCCCCCCCCCCTCCGTGGGAGAGGCTGCGGCCGGGGGGGCTTCCCTGTGCTCTGCTCCCCCAGCCCGGGTCCCCGGCCGGGGGTCCTGTCCCCCCCCCGGCTCATCCGCAGACGGGTGGCGGGCTCTCAGGGTGTCCAGGTCCTGGCTCTGAGGGGTCAGGACATCCTCCTTTGAGCCGGTCACTGAGGAGCACGGGTCTCCTTTTCCTCTCAGGTTGTTCTTCCTCTTACGGATGGAGAACACAGAGGCCTTGGACTCGGACTTGTTTTTCTTCTTGCCTGTCCCCGTGCCGTGCGCCCCCCCTCCTCCTCCTCCGGCGCCTGCTCCTTTACCTCCATGCTTCCCATGGAGCTTTTTCCCCTCCTTTTTAGTCACATCACCCCCTCCTTCTCTCCATCCGTCCTCCAGTGAAGGGTAGCTTCCGTTACCCGACGTGGCCGCAGCCCTCTTCTGCTTCGCCTCCTGATTTCCCATGTTTGAGGAAACAGAGCGACCCTCTCCTTCAGGACATGCCTGGGACAGCTCCTCCTGCCTGGGGGGGGAGCGGGGCGTCTGCTCCGGTAGGGCTGGCTGTGCGCCGCTCTGTGGATGTGGATCAGGATCCTGGTGATGACGATGGGTTTCTTTTCCTCCCTGCTCTGGGCTCCAGTGCGATAATCTTCCTTGTTTTCCGGTGACGGAGGCAGTGATGTTGTCAGTGATGCCTCCCTCTGCCTCACTGCCTTACCCTCCCCCATCCCCCTGAAAGCCGTGATGCAAGCACTGCGCGCTCATTGGAAGTCTGACAGGGAGGAGAGCTGAGAAAAGGAGAGGCACTGGGAGGGGGGGGCAGAGCCAGAGAATAACGATGCTGTGGCCTCTGAGGAGTTGTGTTTTGTGTCGTTACTCATGATATAATTAACAACTACATTTCCCAGGATCCTCCACTCCCACCTACACCAGCCAGTGTTTGCACACATAGGCAGCTCTCAGGATCAATGTATAGATCCTCTGGATACTTATAGTTTTATTAAGGAATTTTGATATAATCAATGTAAATATTTAAAGATCTTATCAA